GTAGAGCGGCGCCGAAAGGAAATGTATCGCTTTGAATCGAGCAGGAAATCGCCCACGTAGAGCAGCTATTAGGTTTCGCAGAGCCGCTGCACCCAGTGCGCCACCCTGCCGTAACGAGAATCCGCTCCAGTCTACCACGGCAACGAAACCGGATTGCTGAAAAAAAGGAGCATAGGTCATCGTTAGGCGTTCAGGCGGCGTGTAATAATGCCATGGAAATAGACGTCGAGTCTGGACTGGGCGTCCAGATGAAAACAGTTGAATGAAGCCAGCACTACCTGCCGTCACCTGAATTCAACGCTTCTAAGACATATCACTATCAAGAATACGTATATACTTTTGTATTAATACTGGACTTACTATACTATAATTCTTCATAATTTCTTCATAATTTTTATACTATAATTCTTCATAATTTCTTCATAATTTTTATACTATAATTCTTCATAATTTCTTCATAATTTTTATACTATAATTCTTCATAATTTATCATTTTTTTTTCAAATTTTGACTCTCGCGTTTGACCTTTGTTCTAAAAATAACATTGCCACTCGATAACAATTGATCGATTAATAGAAAGGGTGAAATGTTACACCTGATTTCGAGGATCCTGAATAAGTATCTCCAGAACTAAGAAGATGGCTCGTTGAACGGATAATGCGGGCACGGCTATGGGATCCCATTGCGACGCTAAAATAACCAGCACGCATCTGCCTTTCCTATATTGATTCAAGAATAAAAGAAAAAAAATAATAAGATTATAACGTAACTGAGTAGTCAAATATTATAAAAAACCATACACTCCTTTCTTTTCCCAAGGTAAAAAATAATTAAAAAAAAAAAAATTAAATATTCGTTTTTCCCCCTCGAGAAAGCTCAAATTATCAAGCGAAAGCAGATGTTAAATGTTAACGTCATCAACTGTGTGTGTGTAAAAAAATTTACGTTAATACGTATTAAAATATACGTGTTAATTTTTACGCGTGGGACGAAATTTATCGCGTCGTTAATCACTCCTCTTTTCCGGCACGTACGCGACACGTGCCGAGCAGTAGCGAGAGAGATAAAAAATAAACTTGGCGGTACGTGCGCTAATTTCTCGACACGTTTCCAGACACAAGCTCCGTTCGTCCGTTGCGAGGGATTGTGGTTTCGTACCTGTCACGTGCGGGCAGAACACCCGGTATACCCGCGCGAAGGGCGCGCTGCAACGCCGGGTCCCGGGCGGTGAGATTGCCGAAGATATCCTGGCGGTGCGTTATTTGCGCCTGGTAGGCGGCTATCAGGGCCGCCGCCTGTTCCGTGCGGTACTTCCGGGCGAGCAGGAAGCGCGTGATGTACTCGTCCGTACAATGCTCCAGGTCTAGGAACAAACGTAGCCCGACCGTCATTGCGATGCCGTCCGCGAAGTGCCGGCCGCGCGCGACCGGAAGCGAGTCGAATGTTTCCCGGAAGTGTGTTTTATATGTGTTTATGTGTGTGTGTGTGTGTGTGTGTGTGTGTGTGTGTGTGTGTGTGTGTGTAGTGTGTGTGTGTTGTATACATGTATATGTGCAATGTGTACGCATCACGCGTCGAACATATACTAAATACTTTTCCTCGGTGCCCTTTGACCCGACGCCTACTTTTTTAACGCCCAGCAATTAAATGAAGGATCGCTGACTTTTATTCGGTCAAGTTGGACATCTTCGATTGTTTGAAATATTAAAATTATCGAGTCTTTTTATTTATTGCTGTGAGTAAAACAATATTCGCAGTCCGATTTTGTACTTAAAGTCGTCTTAAGAAATTATTTCGATTATTTAATGAAACTAGAAAGGAGAAGTTTCTCAAGATCATTTAATATTAGATTTAAGATGATTTTAAATACAGCAATGAACTAACGAAAATCACTTTTATTTATCTAATTAATACAATTCAGTTGATATTTAATCGTCAAATGATTATTTTATTTTCTGCTTTTACTTTACTTATTAAATATCAACCATTTCATCTTGATAAGAAAAAGAAAAAGTTGTCAAGGGGAAAGTTGTTGTGGAGTCGGAATTGCGACTCTTCGAACCGCGACAGACTTGTTGTTAAACTAAATTAAATATAAGTTAAATATTTTCTTAAAACCGGCTATGTTACTTGCTGTTATTTGTTAAATATTTTTATTTGGATGTTTTCACGGGCGTGTCACCGAATTCGAAAAATCGATTTAGAAAATCGCGGTACGGTGTACTTGACATAATTCCGTCTTACCTACATCCGGCATTTGACGAAGTATAGATCTGACAGTCTTAATGGCCAGCTTCTTATCGCGCTTATCAAACCTGCCCCCGTCTTCGTAAATGCTACGGGCTAAGCTACTACGACCTCGTGCAGAATCGCACCACATGTATTCACAATACTCGGACATTTTGCTCCCGTTTTTGGACGCGCGTTAACGTCGTCAATCTGAAACATGACAATAAACAAGTCATTTTTTTTAATAAATTTTTATAGCATAAATTTTCATAGCTTTAAATGCATTAAATGCATTAAATCGATCTCCAATGTGGATTTCTAACATTTTCGAAACGCACAACTTATACATAAAACAACTTGTACATTGTAAAAAAAATTTATACATAAAACAAAACTTATACATAAAAAAAAAATAGTTTTGCCGAAGCATTTAAAAATTTGATCAGATATATACAGATTTGAAGATAATTCGGTTAGCTCAATGAAATATTTATGTTAGAATTAATTGCTTCCGAATTAGTTGTTAAAATATTTAAAAATTTGCCAATAATAATCATTCAAATATCTTACATAATTATCTTGATGACTCAAAGAAATTTTCAGATATCTATTGAAATGTTTAATGCTTCAATAAAATTGTTTTCTTCGTGTAGAATTTAACATTAAAAATTCGTTTTAGCATACTAACACCCCAAAAAAAAACGTGTGCAATGTGCAGATTTCTGAGCAGTCACATGCTTGGAAATATACAGGAACAAACATTCTTTTCAGATTTATCCTTTATTTTCTCGAAAAAAAAAAATATAGTCATCATAAACATTCATCACAGAGTTGCTGTGATGAATGTTTACTATATGTGCTAATATTTACTATGACTATATTTTTTTTTCGCGTCGTGCGAGCGTTCTTTCGACCGGTTTAGGTATAATGCGTTCCAATTCCAACTCCAATAAATTGTCAAATTTACACGTGATATTCTCAGGGCGGCTACAACGTTTTTCGAATTATTAACGAGGCGGAGACATGCGGGTGACACACGAGGAGAGACGTGTCGGCAGAATCAGCAGACGCGCTCTGAATCATACGCCGGCGCATCGCGTTCAAGCACGACTGCACACCGGGCACAAAGAGGGACGTGTGTAACGTCCGATGGCTGATTTGCGAAGTGGCCTATGTAGGCCTGGAAGCCGCTCCCATTGAATAAATAACAATTTATCTGGCGAATGTTTTCCGTTCGATAAAAGACGATAATTCGCGTCCCTTAGTGCCTTAGGAAGTAACGCGAAATAATCGTGCATTATGTACAACTATTCTCAACTGGTAAACAGAGTGAATCTGACAGAACATTCGAGGTAAGAATATAACATAAAGCAATAAAACACGCTGTACAGCGCAAATTTGGCAGCTATATTGCGGCAACATTGTTGCAGTGTTACAATACTGCAGCAATACTGCTGCAAGATCTGTACGTGCAGCACGCTAACTCGAGACCAATGCAAAGTTCAAAAACGTTGGAGCGTGAGACGATCTTGGACACTTTGTGTCGTTTGAGAAGGCTCGCTTCTTTTATTTCGCATTTCGCTTTTTCCTCACGCTCACCCAACGACGGCCCGGTATATTGCTCCAAGGATGATTCAGAGAACCGTCCTTGCATGAAGCGCGTCGTGCGAGCGTTCTTTCGACCGGTTTAGGTATA